AAAATAGGGCAACTCTACGGAGGCAGGGCTACAGAATAAACTGGTGAATGTACAAAACAATCTGTATTATAGGCTATATAACTCATGCTTCATATATATGTATGTTTATTACACTTGGGGCCATCACTAGAAAGATCAGCAAGAAACTGGTAACAGGTGGGATCCAGGAGAGAGCAATGAGTAGGAGAAACAAGGACTTACTTTTTCTCCCCCACCCTTTTCAAACTTCTGATTTTTGTACAATGTGCATATATTACCTGTTTAAACACAAAACATTACACTATATTTACACATCTGTGAGGTTACTGACTATAATGCATAATTTAATATTTTTCTGATTACTAAGGGTCACTGTCATGAATTATATTAAATGATAAAGCTCAGGCCAGGCACGGTGGCTCACGCCTATTATCCCAGCATTTTGGGAGGCTGAGGTGAGAGGATTGCCTGAGTCCGTGGGTTTGAGACCAGCCTGGGCAACTTGGCGAGCCCGCATCTCTACAATAAATCAAAAAATTAGCCAGGCATGGTGGCGTGTGCCTGTAGTTCCAGCTACTTGGAAGGCTGAGGCAGAAGGTTCACCTGAGTCCAGCAGGTTGAGGTTATAGTGGCTGGGAGCGTGCCACTGCCCTCCAACCTGGGTTGTCACCCAGGAGTAAGACTCCAACTCAAAACAAAACAAAATGATAAAGGTGTTATGAACCTATTGAGAAACATAGGGATCTATCTCATAGGTATATGTGGGCCATATACTAAATGACTCCAGGCTGCACACATTGTTACTGTCATGTGTAGTTTTCCTGTCTTCTCCCAGCTGCTTCTGACTGCCATCCACCTTCCTTCCTCTAGCTGACCCAAACTTCTTTTAAATTGGCGCTTCTAGTTGTGGTGGGCCAAAAAGCCAGATGGATGGTCCTACTGCAGTACAGTAAGTCACCTACATATGAACCTTCAAGTTGCAAACTTGCAAAGATGCAAATATGCAAGTTAGTTCATATGTCTGTCATACATTATCACATGCATGCATCCTCTACAAGTGGTTGTGCTTTTGTGTACTTTACTATGCAGTCCTTTATAGAATACAGTAGAACACTATCTTTATTTCATGCCCAAGATGTCCAGAAGCAAGCGTAAAAGCAGTAGTAATGTAGCTGGTAGAGTACTGTAAGATTAAAAATGTCTTATTTTTGTGATTATGTATTATTTGTGCAGAAAGTATGGCAAACCTCTTAGAATACAATACGATATAGCTGATTGTGTTAGTTGGGTACCTAGATTAACTTTGTTGGACTTACGAACAAATTGGACTTATGAACGCATTCTTGGAATGGAACTTGTTCGTATGTAGGGGACTTACTATGCCATATATATAAAAGAAAGGGAAACTGTCTTTGTGACAATTTGAGGAATCCTTTTTTTTTTTTTTGAGTTGGAGTTTCACTCTGTCGCCCAGACTGGAGTGCAGTGGCTGCTCCTGGCCACCGCAGTCTCGACCTGCTGGGCTCCGGCGATCCTTCCGCCTCAGCCTTCCAAGTAGCCGGAATTACAGGCATGCGCTACCACGCCCGGCTGATTTTTTGATTTATTGTAGAGATGAGGTCTCGCTGCCCAGGCGGGTCTCGAACCCGCGGGCTCAGGCAATTCACTCACCTCAGCCTCCCAAAGGCGCGGGATTACAGGTTGAGCCACCGAGCCCGGCTTGAGGAATCTTTTAATCATCAAGTTCAGTAAGTTTTAGACATTAGACTTTATTACAACTTCTTGACTACTCAAGATTTTTACACACTTCCAAGTTCCATACAATTGAGCAAGGAATGGGCACATCATCATTGAAGTCACCATGGGCAATTCTATTACTTAACATTGCATTGCTAAGTACATATCTGAAACGTTTTCAGAATTGCTTTCATTTATTCACTCAAGAACATTTTTGATCATCTAGCGCACACCAGGTAATGTTCTAGGTGCTAGGCATACTGCAAAGCAATATAGACAATGGCCAAACTCCCTTAAATTTTATATTGTAAGTGGAGAGAGACAACAAAGATCAAGCAGTTAAGAACAAAAAAGAAAAAAGGGGATAATGTGATAGAGCCATCAGGACAGGCGAGCGGCATTAGATAGGGTGGCATATGGGTCAGGGTATAACACATCTATACGCCTTTAATATTTAAAATAAGGGCTTGGTGGGCAGTTGGGAAGAGAAGGATAGGAAAAAGGGAAGCAAGGAGCCTGCTAGTATGAGACTCCTTGGTGGAACTAGTGGCAGCATACTGGAACCCACACGGGTCTCTACCTCCAACCCTCCAACCTGAACGATGGGGTTGTCCTGTAGAATCTGGCATCCTTTGTCACAGAGTGAAACATATCTGGTCCAGAAGTCAGAAAGCTGGAGGAGGGGATCCAGCCAGAGCTTGTGTTCCTGAGGGCTTGGCTGTTGTCCCATAGGCTAAGGAGATGGGCCAGCAGGTAAGCAGTAACGTGGGTGAGCTGTCTGGGGCCTTGCTTGGACCTTCCAAGTATAAAAAGAACCCAGACCTGGCTGCTACTTGACTTGCACCTTCTACATCTTATGCCAAATATTTCTTATGACCCACACTGGCCTGGGATTATGCAGGAAACTCTGGGGAATTAACCTCCGAGTTGACGAAATCTGCCAGTATCTTGGGAGGCGGAGGGAAAGCCCAGGCACATTCTTGATTACGGTGTCTTAATTTCAGCCCTGTTTGTAATAAATCTGCCATAGAGCCAGGCATGGTGGCTCACTCCTGTAATCCCAGCACTTTAGGAGGCCAAGGCGAGAGAATTGCCTAAGCCCATGGGTTTGAGAACAGCCTGGGTAACTTGGTGAGACCCTGACTCCACAATAAATCAAAAAATTAGCTGGGTGCGGTGGTACACGCCTGTAGTTCCAGATACTTAGAAGGCTGGAGCAGGATTGCCTGAGTGGTCAACAGGTGGAGGCTGCGGTGGCCATGAGCATACCACTGCACTCCAGCCTGGGCAACAGAGCGAGACTCTGACTGAAAGGAAAAAAAAAATCTACAATGGATGGTCTGAGATCTCTGAAAGACGTTTGAGCCGAGACCCTGAAAGATGAGAAGGCTTTGGCCATACATCCTTCCAAGATTTGGAAGCGACTATCTCAGGCAGAGCAAATGGCTAGCGTCAAGCCAGTGATATAAGCTAGTAAGAACAACGAGGCTGGGGTCTGTGGGAGGGGGAGTGTATAAAATCAGTAAAAACCTGGTCACACGGAGGCTTGCAGAACGTGGTAGCTAGCGGGGACTTTTTCTCATTGCAATGGGAGGCAAATGGAGTTTTTATCCGGGAAGTAATTTCATCCAATTTATATGTAAACTCTCCTAAAGTTTATATTGTAATTGGAGAGAGACAACAAAGATCAGGCAGCTAAGAACAAAAAAGAAAAAAAAGGGATGATGAGAGTCATCAGGATGGGGAAACAGTGTTAGATAGTGTGGCATATCAGTCAGGGTCTGATCAGAAGAACCACTAGGGATATAACACATTCATATGCCTTTAATATTTAAAATAAAGGCTTGGTGGGCAGTTGGGAAGGGAAGATGGATAGGAAAAAGGGAAGCAAGCAGGTTGCTAGTATGAGACTCCTTGGTGGAACTAGTGGTGGTGGACTGGAACCCACACAGGTCTCTGCCTCCAACCCTTGAACCTGAATGATGGGGTTGTCCTGCAGAATCTGGCACCCTTTGTCACAGAGTGAAACACACCTGGTCCAGGAAAGCTGAAGGAGGGGACCCAGTCGGAGCTTGTGTTCCTGAGGTCTTGGTTGTTGTCCCATAGGCTGAGGAAATGGGCCAGCAGGTAAGCAGCTGTTTATTTTGAAATAATTTCAAATTTACAAAAAAGTTGTAAGATTTAGCACACACACTTCAGGCCCATCATCCAGAAAACTTGTTAAGTTTCTTTTGGCTGCACTGTGGAGAATAGAGGCAGTGGGCAGGGCTGCTTCTTCCCTCCCCTCCAGGCCCATGGCCCCCTAGAGCACAGTGTGCATGATGCCCTTGGAGCCGGGCAGAAGGCTGTCCAGGTGTGGAAGCAGGAATGTGACTGGGAGAGCTATTGCGAGAGTTCAAGCTACAGCGCTTCCACCCCACTACTTTCAGATTGCATAGGAAAGCTACTCTCATGATTTTAGACTCAACTCATAAATTCATGTTGGAAGAAAAATGGTATCACCTCTACAGATCTGGCCTCAATTGACTGGCTATTTCTAGCAATCGTATCAATTCTCAAAACCAACTAAAAATAACCTCAGTGATTTGATACCACAGAAGTTATGTAAGAGAATGTTTCACAAATAACTCCAGATTTCCAAAGAATTTCCAGAGAATGTGCATTCTCCTAAGGGCTACACGTTGAAGGGGCCCATGTTGGTGTTGACGGACAGGTTCTAGTCTCAGTATTTTAGAGATGACCTTAGACTTGCATATCTTCTATTTTCATCAGACTTGGCTTACTTTACTTGAGATAGTAAAATTTTTCCCTAAAGCATGTTCTTCTTTCTAGATTAACTCTCTCTGCTAGCAATCCTGTCTGGCTAAAGGCCAGGTTCAAATATTGCAGTGTGCGAGGGCTCATACAGATTTTCAGGCTCATTTCTGATTTCAGCACAATCTCAATTCAACAGCTACAATTAACTATGGATATCATCCTTCTTACTAAAACATATATACCTAATATCTGTTAATTAGATCATGAAAGTAAAGTAGAAAAGCTCAACAGTTGGGTGATGTTAGAGGAATCATTGATTCTGTCTTATACTCAGCTAAAGAGGAACTTGCTTAATGCAGTAGGGCTCAGTGACAATGAAGGTAAGTGCCTGATGCCCAGTAAGCACTCATACTTGAAATAAAAAAAAAATCTGCATTTTATTAAGAGAAGAAATGCTTCTTTAAAAAAGAGCTCTGGACAGACCATTTATCTTCTTTAAGAAAAAGTGTAAAGCAGATAAAAAAGCATTATCTGGCAAAGGCAGAAAAGTAGAAAAGTTTTTTATATCTTTAATTAGAGTTTTCAGTATACACTTATCTTCCTGAAATCTGTAGTGATGAATCTCCATGTAAACATTCAGAAAGAGAAAGAGGGGAAACTGTCATAACTTACGCACTACAAATTTTGTCCTTGATTATTAATCAAGAACAGCTGTATACATTTATTAACAACTGTTTTCCTTCATTTAACAATGGCTCTTGAATAACAAAATAAATTATCAGCAGTTTCAACCATACATTAAAAAGTAATTAAAGCTCAAAAAATCTATTAAAGTTTCATAAATGCAAGTAATAGATTTCATATATTATGTTCTTTGAATAAAATAACAAAGAATTTACTTCCCATTGTTGCAAGTTCACAAAATTCATGAAAAGGTTTCACCTTTTTTTTTTTTTTTTTTTTTTTTTAGCTTAACTATGCCTCAGGTGAACATAACAGACAATAACTGTTAGACTTATTGGACATGATAAAAGAAAAAGCTTATGACCATTCAGATCAGGTAAACCTAAAACATACCTCAGACTTTCTTAACCTGTAGCTCTAATTTCTTAAATGATTTACAAGAAACTATTAGAAGATTATTTAATGAGCCAGCTGAACTTTGTTATTTTGCCGTTTTTTGCAAGTCACAAACACATATATATTTTGCCTTGAAAATGAAGCAGAATACTATTCATTGCCAGTGAGACTAAGAGCAAGGGAAAAACAAAGTCAAAGTCATAGATATGCTTAAATTGTGCTACATTATTTCAACTGTTTAATTAAAGTTTAATTACCAGATCAGTGCATTGTTTCTTGCTTGAAAAAGTAATGTGTAGATAAAAAATATTTTAAAAATAAACCAGAGGTAAAAATAAAAAGGCCTGAACAACTTAGAAAAGAGCAATAGAATACTTTCCAATCAATGATTATTAGTGGGAATATTCACTTTATACAGCAGTTATTGACAGCCATTTAGCAATTCTTTAATCAGGCACTTGATATTTCTTAGCTAGCATACTCAATACTGGGGCCTCATGCACACACACACACAAATATGGCTTTATTACAAAGGATTCAAGATGGCAACTACTTAGAATCCAGTGCCAACACGGATTATAACAAATCCAGTGAGTATTTTGTTTTTCAATTATTCATAGAAAATTTAATCCTGATTAAGTATCCTTGGGCAGGAATTCATGGGTAGTTGATGACTGAAACCAACATTTATGTGAAATGCTTCTGTTAATTTAATCTGTGTATATGGCTTAATTATGATTGGGGATTCAATGTAAGAGAAATGAATTATATCAGGATTAAAATTTTAGTACCGTATCACATAGTACCTCTCTCTTCTTTCTTTTTAAACACATAAACCTGCTTGTCCCTTCACCTAAGTGCTCAGATTTTAAAATCCTTTGTCCTTACCAGCCATGTAATGTATCTAAGTTTTTTTCACAACCTATTTGTCAAAAACCTTTGCTCATCAAGCTAAAACCTGAACTAGAGCCAAAATGATAGGAAAAAAATCAGAGAATAACCCCACCCACAAATAAACAAAAGCTTATTCATTTAGCTATGAACATATGCTATTTTCATTTCCTGAAGTGATTTCCTTTTCAATTTCTTTAAACTCAAATATGAAATGCATTTTCCTTAAAGCATAAAAAAGAAGCAGTACTTAAAAGCAGTGTATTACACTGATTTCATAACTGGACTAGTTTAGATATGTATAAGCAAGTAATCATTTAACTGATTACTTTTTATAACACTATCAAACCTGAGTTAGCTATTGATATGAGGCCTTGTAAGTGGTGAATATTTAATAATAATTCTTTTCCACGTTTATTTCCATATAGAAATTGCTTCAATCATCTTATAACAACACTCTTTCTTGAAAGTTTATTGTTTAGGTCTATTTCAAAACAGTTCATTTACTACCTTTTTTCAGTTTGGTACTGCTTAAATGCAGTTATATAAATAACATGCTCTGCTTTCACTGCCCAATTTTTCATACCAAATGTATGAAAACGAAGTCACTCTATTTGAATCCTTATTGCACTCTTTTGACCAATTCACTTTTCCTTTCAACAAAAATCAAGCGTCAGAAATGAGGGCGACTTTTGTGTCCAGATGATATGGTAAGTGGTAGTGTTACAGAAGAAAGTGAAGAAACTTCCCAGTATAGACTGTGGGATAGGAAGAGTCTGTAGAGAATAACCATGGAAACAGACTGGCAAAGGATAACACCTATTGTAACAACCTGAAAAGAAAAGAAAGGGAATGCTTTTACTGCATGCAGAAACAGAGAAATAATATTCAGTTTATCATGAACCTGTATGCTTTTTATATAAATATAGTACCGTATCATTCATCTATATCATTAGCTCATTTTATCAAAGACATTTTTAATAGGAAAATACAACTAATGCTCACCACTGTCATTGTTTAAGGGTAAAAATTCCTTCATTGTTAGTTTATAGATGACAAAGTTAGACACAAAAGAATAACTGGTTGAAGCAGTCGCTCCTAAGAGGACACACACTAGACAGAAGTTTCAGTAAGCAATTACAAAAATCAGGTTCCTGGTTAATTTAGTAATAGGAATAAAGCATGCTCCTACCTAAACTTTAAAGAGGTCTCTAAAAGCCCTTTCACAAATTCCTAAGTTGCTTCTCTATTTTTGTAGACTGCTTTCCTATCTATTCACCCTTTGTAAATACCTCAGGTTCAATAAACACTTGTGTGTTCAAGCACATGCTGCACTGCTTGTAAAGGGCTCCTGGCAGAACTCTACTTTGAAATGATGGAGCCATTCACCTACGAAGGTAGGTATCAACTCAATCAAAATGCAGCATACTTTAGCGTGGTCCTCAGGTTTGTAGTCTGTTTAAAACAACAGGTTGATTTTTAGTTTTATCTTGATCATTATGTAGCAAAAATTTTAACCTTTTTTAAAAAAAAGCTGTCTTATGAATTACCTAATTTTGGCTGGGCGCAGTGGCTCACGCATGTAATCCCAGCACTTTGGGAGGCAGAGGCAAGAGGATTACCTGAGCCCAGGGGTTTGAGATCAGTCTGGGAAACTTGGCAAGATCTCGTCTCTACAATAAATCAAAAAATTAGCCAGGCGAGGTTGTGCACGCCTGTGGTTCCAGCTACTTAGAAGGCTGAGACAGAAGGATCACTTGAGCCCAGCAGGTCGAGGCTGCGGTGGCTGTGAGCAGCGTGCCACCGCACTCCAGCTTGGATCACAGAGTGAGACTCTGACTCAAAACAAACAAACAAACAAAAAAGAGCTCTAGACATCCATTTATCTTACCAAACAGTATTCTAAAATAAGATAAACAGAAACAACAAAAGTGACTTCCATAATTCTGCTATAAACTAAATTTTTAAAAAATTATTTTATAAACTTCAAATTTATATACTCATGGTTTACTAATTTATGAATAAATAAACAGGCCCCAACCCGGGCTCGGTGGCTCAACCTGTAATCCCACACCTTTGGGAGGCTGAGGTGAGTGGATTGCCTGAGCTCGTGGGTTCGAGACCCGCCTGGGCAGCGAGACCTCATCTCTACAATAAATCAAAAAATCAGCCGGGTGTGGTAGCGCATGCCTGTAATTCCGGCTACTTGAAAGGCTGAGGCGGAAGGATCGCCGGAGCCCAGCAGGCGAGGCTGCGGTGGCCGGGAGCAGCCATTGCACTCCAATCTGGGCAACCGAGTGAGACTCCAACTCAAAAATAAATAAATAAATAAATAAATAAACAGGCCCCTACTAATTTAATATTTTCCCAATAAAGATTATATTTTCATTAAAGAAAAACTATTTTCTATTACTTACCTTTTCTCTTTGGTAGTCACTAAAAATGATAGAAATGCACGCAAGACCTGGATGGCATAAAAACCACAAGATACAGCCCTGAAACAAATAAACAAGGCAAATAAGCACCACTATGTTTTTCTTTAAGAATATACCAGATTAAAAAATATCACTAGTATATTTAGGTCCTGATGACCCTCAATTGACCTTTAGAGTAAAGCTTGCAATAAAATGTAAAACTAAGTTTACTGCTGCTGTGATATGAATATTTTGTTCTAACCAAATGAGAATTTTCTGAAGTAGTTAAAATCTTGTATTTGTAAATCTGCCACATACACATTTTGATATACTACAAATGCATTAATATGTTAATGGGTTAATAATTAGTAAAATAATACATTCGTATTAATAATAAGTAACAAATTAATAAAAGCAAGGTACAAATGTGTAGTATTTCTACAAAAAGAAAAAACAAGAATATACACTCACATTTGCATGTAAGTACACAAAGAAATTCCGTAATATATGAAAAATATTCATAGTTGGTAACTGAGGGGTAGTACAGAGGAGGGGGATGTGTGCAGAAAACTTTACATTATACTTTCAAATGTCTTTTTCTATTTTTCCTTGAACCACGGCAATGCATTCTCTTTTCCAAAATTAAATTTGAAATAAAAAAATAGGTAATAAAGTAGCTGCCGAGATGCTTGGTACATAGAAGGTATATGGGGAAAAAAACAAGATGTAGAAAAATGTGTTTAGTATGCCTCTATCTGTCCAAAAGTAGAAGAAAATATATAGGAATATATATTAAAAATTCTCTAGAAGGATAACTAGTAGCAGCAATTATATGAGGGGGTGGTGACAAATGAGTAGATGGGAAAGAGGTAAGAAATACTTTTGCTACTCCTTAAATACTTTTGGATGTTTGATCCTATTCAGAAAGTTAAATGAAAACATATGAAATAATTTCAGCTCATGAAAAAAAGTCTGCACTGTTTTCAACATAAAACTGGAGAGGAAAACTTGGTACCCAAACACCTCAAATCCATCCTGACCGATCACACAAGAAGCTCTCCTGTTCCTGTGAAAAATTCAGAGGTAATGACATTTTCTTGCCTGTTTGGTACTCAGAAGCTGCTTTCGAGTGCTGTAGCAGCAGCTGCAAAACCCAGCACTAGCAATAAAGAAGGAGCTTGGCCTTCCTTTCTTAGCTGCCTTGGAATGGTCATTGACTCTGTGGACTAGGCAGTTCAGTGCACAGTGTTTCAGAATGCTGGTTTCAGTTGCTAAGATAAAAGGGTATGGATTCCAAAATGAAATCTTCTAGGGAGGAAGCCTTCTGTAATGATCATGCTTCAACCCTCTGTCCTGAGTACAAGAAGGATATAGAAAGGGGGAATAAAGTGAATGCGATCCTACACGGAAAGTTAGCCAGAATGTCATGTACTCAACCTCCTGGCTCCATCGCCTTATGCTGAAGGATAGCTCCTTGGTTTGTTATGAAACATTTCAAAACTCTGACAAGAACAGTCCATAGTCAACTAATAGTTGAGAAATGCAAACCGTATTCTAGTTTATTAATTTTTTTTTAAAAAATTGGCCAGGTTTGGTGGCTTAGCCTGTAATCCCAGCACTTTGGGAGGCCAATGCAAGAGGACTGCCTAAGCTCAGGGGTTCGAGACCAGCCGGGGTAACTCAGCAAGACCACCGTCTTGATATTAAATTAAAAAAAAATTTTTTTTAATTAGCCAGGCATGGTAGCACGCTTCTGTAGTTCCGGGTACTTGGAAGGCTGAGGCAGAAGAATCACCAGACCCCAGCGGGTTGATGCTGGGTGGCAGTTAGTGTACCACTGCACTATGGCCTGGGCAAAGGAGTGAGACTCCAACTCAAACGAATAAACAAATTCTGATACTACAGAAAAAAATGTAAAATTCCTATTGATAAAGAAATGATGAGTCAAGCAAAATTGACCTGTCAAAGAATACACGGAAGATACTGTTCCACAGGTTCTACAATGGGAATAATACCCACATCACACAAGGTGAGAGAGGTGAGCCATGAAGGACATATAGCAGTACCCAGCACACAATGGAAGTTTAATAAATGACAGCAAGTGGCAGTTTGTTAACTTCTCAATGAGATCAGAACGAAGCTGATAAGGAGAAGGCCACTTTCCCTACAAACCCGTACTTTGGCAAATGTTACATAGAACTCTCTTCTGAGTGTGCTTCTCTCCACTGTGATGATCTGATAGAGTCCACAACCTAGTGATAACGCTAGGCAAATTCTCAGAATGATTAGAAGGATTCCTGCTAAGTTGTGGTGTGAATGGTAGCTATGATGACTGGTGTCTTCAAACTGTTCCCAAAGTAGCAAAATACTCTGCAAAAAAACAATAGTACATTTAGAGGAAAATTTAAGTACTTTTTTCATCTTTTTAATAAATATTACCTTAAACATTAAACATTCCTAAGTGCTTCTAAGATTTATCAGACTATCGAGGTTGTCAATAAAGTACAGACATAGTCTTTTCATTGTTCTAATACCCTAAGCTAGACAAAAAGATTTTTATCAAGTGAGACCATACTCAAAAGATTTTTTTAAAACACTATTGTTGGCCGGGCGCAGTGGCTCACACCAATAGTCCCAGCACTTTGGGAGGTCGAGGTGAGAGGATTGCCTGAGACTGCCGGATTGAGACCAGCCTGGGCAACTTGGTGAAATCTCATCTCTACAATAAATAAAATAAAATATTATTCAGGTATGGTGGTGTGTGCTTGTGGTTCCAGCTACTAGGAAGGCTGAGGTGGAAGGATCACCTGAGCCCAGCAGGTCGAGGCTGGGCGACAGAGTGAGACTCCCACTCAAAAACAACAACAAAGCGCTATTGCTACCATGATTCAAATAAGACATCTCTAAGGATGAAAATAAACTGAGAAGATTAAGAGAATAATCAAACTTTCTTCTAAATTTATATCGTCCTTACTTCAACACTATCTTTGAACGCAAACTGGTCTGCACTTAAGCCCACTATCTCAGAGTAACTTTCAACTATCTCAGTATCTTGCATACTCCAGAAATTAACAAGCCAGGATTGCTGATTTCAGACTTCACTCTTTTTCTTGGTAACTTCCCCATGTAAAGGGAAATATTTTTAATATTCACTATAAGCATCCAGGGCACTGTTATTCATCCCTATTTGCCTGTTGACCTTTTCTCCCATATGCTCACAGTAAAAAGCTCAGCAAGTTTCTCACTAAGTTATTCTATTCATTGCTATTCAGTAGAAATCAGTGTCCAGTTCCCTCCATCTTTACTGAACATCAATCACTTAAGTTACTCTGTTTTTACCATCACACTTGTCTACAGTCCCCTATACTACTTTCATTTGTCAACTCAGCCCTCAAAATTGAGTCTTCAGTGACTTCCAAGGACTCAAGATAAAAACTCAATATTACACCCAATTCTTAGGTTTTAAGGGGTTTACCAGCAACCACTTCCTTTCCTCACTGTCACATCTTCTAATTTTACCTCTGCTACTTCTTGGCAGGTAAACTACTTGTCATCCTGATGTGAAATTTCCTTCTTGGGCTCAATATCTGGTCTATTATTGAAACTGTTATTCCTCCACTCCACCAAAACATGCCCATTTGACTCCTTAACCTACACTTTTAAATTTAACTTTTGTAAATACAGAAGTACTTTTATAGAACAACCAGAGCCCATGATTCACATTTTTATATACTCAAACTCTCCTATTTTCATACATATATGCTAATATGTGATCTGTATAAACGATTATATAGTCTTTGTCTGTCTTGTCTGGGTTGTTGAAGATGACAGCTATGTCTAATAATCCTCATAAATGCTCACTTAAACTCTAGTGTAGTCTCATAATTTCAATTCTCAGTTCATATTTGTCAAATTAACATGAATACATGAAACAATAAAAATTTAATTTTTGAAAAATGCTATGAACTGAAATATGAGCATTTAACCTGAGATTAATACCACTCTCCATAAGTCTTGTATCAAAAATATTAAGTTGGTACGAACTTAACCTTATTTTAATTACTTCTACTTCAGTTCTTTCTTATCAACTCCTTTCCTGGCACTATCTTTTTTCTAAACATCACTATCTGTGATATGGTCCCTTTCTCAAATCAATTATGTAAATTCAGTACTCCTATTCCACTTAAAACCTGCTAAATAAATACTAGGGATATGAAGATGAATAAAGCACTGGCCCCATTCTTCTTCATTCGTAAATTTTTCAGTTTACTTTAAACTTACATTATAACGACCTCTACAGAGTCTAAGTGCACATTTCATTTGCATCTATAGCTAATGCTTGTCAAAAACTCAGTATCAACTTTTATGTTTATATCTTTCTTCTTAATTTTTACAAATCTATTGCACGTAGGTATATAGATATCCTAGAATAATGTCAATACCGTCACTAGAATTGAAAAGGAAAAAAGGCCGGGCTCGGTGGCTCAGCCTGTAATCCCAGCACTTTGGGAGGCCAAGGCGAGTGGATTGTCTGAGCCTGCAGGCTCGAGACCATCCTGGGCAACTTGGCGAGACCTTGTCTCTACAATAAATAAAAAATTAGCCAGGCATGGTAGTGTGTGCCTATAGTTCTGGCTACTTGGAAGGCTGAGACGGAAGGATCGCCGGAGCCCAGTAGGTGGACGCTGGGGAGGCCATGAGCGTGCCACTGCACTCCAGTCTGAGTGACAGAGTGAGACTCCAACACAAAAAAAGGCACAGAGGACCTTTATAAAAGACCAGATTTGTTTTGGCATTTGTTTTCAAAAACAAGATCTCATTCTTTGTTTAGCCTATATTTTGCGTTTTACTTAATCTCAGATAATCACTTGAATTCTTTCATGTATAACGTAAACAATCCTACAAATCCTGGACAATGGATAAATCTCTAATTCATGTATTCAATGTTGAGTACTTACCATGTGCTAGAAAATATGAAAGAAAGCTACTATTAAGTAGGAACTGAGAATCTAACCTAATATTAAACAGACTGTGCTTAAATAAGCTAATAGGAAACCCAAATTTAGGTAAATTATAATTAAATTTTGCAATCTACGTGTAGTAGCACCCAGAAGATTAAGAGATTATTCAATCTATCACTTTTTAAATTCGAACTTCAAAATACCACAAGTTCTAAGCTCAGGAATTTTAAGACAAAAAATGCACAAATTTTTCATGAGTCTCAGGTTTAAATTCTGAAATAAGGTGTGTCCAAGTTTGCATTTCTGAAGAATGCTAAGCAGATACATTGAGTATCAACACTCACCTGTGTCACAACAATAAATACCGCAATGCCAGTGGATGCAGGCGTAGAATCCCACTGGAGAGGTCTGCTTTGAGACTTCTTCATTCTGACTAGTGTCCAACCCATGCACAGACTCAAAAGTAGGTATAACATTTGAATTTGGGAAGCGATGTCAAAAACTAATGGGATATGAAAGCCAAAGTCAATCAAGTTTTCTCAATACTTCTTGCACTGAAATGAGACCTTTTTTAAACCACAGAAAACAGGCATGTGCAAAGAGAGAAGCTAAGAAAATTCAATAAGAGACATTCATGTATAATAATTCTAAAAATTAAAATTTTGCCATAAAATTTGTAAAATTATGGAAATAGTTAAAACCACAGCAATACTATTTAAAAATACATATATGAGGGGGAACTCCAAAAAACAGAATTGTCTTTTGGAGGGCAGGCCCCTTGTAGTACACTCGGAATTTGTTCTTCCAGGTCAAATGGTCATCCAAAGTTTTTATCAGGAAGTTCTGAGAAAGTTGAGTCACAATTGGAGGAAAAAAACGTACCAAGTTGTGGCAAACAGGAGATTGGTTATTCCACTATGACGATGCACCTGCCACACCCCGCGGAGTGTTCCTCAGTTTTTGACCACAAACAGCATGACCCCAGTGCCCTATCCTCCCTATTCACCCAATCTTGCTGGAGCAACTTTTTTTTGTTTCCTCAAATGAAAAAAGTCTTCACAGGGAAATGTCTTGCCATGTGCAAGAGGTGAAACAAGAAATAGTGGAAGCACCAAAAGGCATCAAAATTCACGTGTGCACAAACTTGTGAACAGTGAAAAAAGTGTCTCGATAGATGTATTGCATCAAACGGAGAGTACTTTGAAGGTGACTGAAGTTTAAACATGTAAGAATAAATACACAATTTTTAATAAATAAATTCCAGGTTTTTCTGGGTTCCTTCTTATATATATATGTGACCATATATCTCTATTAAGTTCAACCTCAATCTCTTTGGTTCCCATTTTTCTTAGGTTTTCAACTACAATTTCTGCAATGTGGAGAACATTGGTATTTTCATTTCTGCTTTTTTTGATGCACAAACTATAATGTAAAAAGTATTTCCTAAAACTATGAATAAGAACAACACAATAAAATGCATAGCTACTGTACCATCCAATTATGTTTGCTTTAGTTTCAGAGTCCTGAAGACAAATGAAAAGCTCAATGCATTAGTGTGATGTGCCACCAGGTGGTCATCACTTACACTGCAGGGGAAGCCTGCTATTCTACAAAAGATGTAACAGAACCATGGTTACCTGTGTCAAATCTACACTACAAGAAAGCAACAAAAACCTATAAATGCTTCAAGTTCCATGCATATGCACTTTATAAGGTTGTATTTATTGATGTTAAAAAAAAAGCTTATCACTTTTTCATCAGTATATTTTGATATAAATTTTAAAATAAACTTGTGAACACAATTTAACAACAACAACAAAAAATTTTGCACAAATTGCCATCCATAACCCTCATGTTTACAACTCTTACTTCTTTTACATAAGGACATTCTTGCAGGAACAGATAAATCTATAATGCATAATACATATATGTAAAGGTTGCAAGCCGAAAGACTTTTAATGATATTCTAATATTTGGTACACTTTAAAAATATTAAATATTTAATAGTTTAATATCTGTCAGATATATTTTGAAAGATTTTCCCTCACTCTGCCATCAAAGTTAAAACTGAAAGCCCTACATTTATGCATACCGATCTGTAGCAGTGAATTCTGATAATGAACTGTCACAGCATTTGAATGACATAAAATTATGGCCTTTCAGATCAAGCACACTTTTCTTTAGTGTTGTTATTATTGTTCTTGTTACTTATTTTATTTTAGAGTTGTGGGGTACCTGTGTACCTTAGTACATAAGCAAACTACATGCAGGTGAGGTCTGGGCTTCTAGCAAGTCCTCTCTCTCTGGTAGTGCACATGGCACTCAGTGGGTGGTTGGGTGTCCCTTGTCCCCTTTCCCCCTTCCCGCCATTTGCAGTGAGTGCCCAGCGTCAGCTGTTCTCATGCTTGTCAAGCGCACCATAGATTTTAAATGGCTGTGATGCCAATCAACTTTGTTAAACATTTCACAAATACATATTCAGTTACATAGGCTAGCAAAAGTTAGCCAAAGGAATAGTCCTACATAAGTTGCTAAGCAGCAAAAGCAAATACCTGGGGGGAAAAAAACCCCAATTTTCTGGATCATTTATGTACTGAGTAATACACAGGTGGATGTAATACAATAACTGGTTAAGTGGAACACTGCTCATTTGTTGTTGAAACATAGCTAACTGTAGATAAAATATACCAATCACAGAAAACCTCTATTCTGTCTTGAATTTTAATCACTTAACTCACCAAACTTTTTGAGAGAATCATCACAAATTAGCAATATAATTTTTTTGAAGTTTTTTTAACCTTCAGTGAAATCATCAGACAGCCTAAAACACTGTTTTATATATAGCAAACAATCACAAAAATTCAACAGTCCTTAATATTAGTAATAGTTTTGCCACTAGTTGGCTATGTGTTTTGTTTCTTTGGACCTCATTTCCTCTTCTAAAATGCATAAGCTAAATTATTACTAAAGTTCTATGCAGTTTTAAAATCCTATGATTCTTTTAAACACCTAAAAGTCATCTAAGAGAAAAAAAGCAAAAACCCAGGGCTTTAGATAACAATCAAAACAGATAAGTTCCTCTTGTTCATGCCCAAGAGGTGAATGGTACACAGTCTCTTCACAAGGAAAATACAAACTTCTTGACATTTTAGAAACTTAAGAGAAGCAACAAGGTCAGGATGAATGGAGCCTAAGATGATTAAGAGAGATTAACACCCTATTAAAGGCTGATGAGACTAGAAGAGAAATATAGAAATATAAGGAAGAGTAAGTCCTAGAATGGTTTCAAATTCAGAATGCTTTTTAGAGCAAATCTTAATTTTCTAGGATTAAGAATGGCATAAGACATTATCTCCCTCTGACGTTTTCTTTAAAATGTCATGATTATAGGACCTTTTAAATATTTTTTCCTATCATGCTTAATTGAAAAATTACTTCATAAGATGTGAGTCAGCTCAATTACAGGTATATCCTATAGCTTTGGTCAGAAACGGAAGAGTCAGTATATTAGAAAATGTTTTCACAATAGGGAAAAAAACTTTTGAGCTCTGGGGTCAGAAAATTTGAATCTTGGTCTAGTCTGTGCCACTTAATAGCTGACTGATACTTGGAAATGTGCTTATGTACGTATTGAGCCCAGATCCTTTACCTGCAAAATAGGGATATGTATATCTACTTTTTATCGAGAGTCAAATGAAAGAATGTAATAAATATGCTCTAAAAACAATGACGAGTTATACATCTTACCTATTATTAAAAAGAAATTAAACAGGATACATGGGCACTAACTCTGTAATCCTGTTTTCAATTGAGTTGAATTCTAACCTACCTTGGAAAGAAAAACTGTACTATGACAAAAATAATTTTAATAAAGGAAAACAAACAAGAAGCAGATGGCGTTAATGTTTTTAAAAATGCTCAGAAAGATACTCACATTCTGCCAAACTTCCCATAAATGGTACCCCTATTCCATCTTTGGAATAACTGGGGAATTAAAGAAGAGAGTATTAGTGTTAATTATAAGTGTGAAAAAAATTGTTCATAATCAAAGCAAGTATAATTTTGGTGAACTAATTAGGATTAATTAGATGTAATGATGAACACAGTTTTAGTGGTTTTGAGTTACCTGGAGAAATGAATGTAATTAGCTAAAGCTGAACCAGCTTGCAACAGCAATGCAGTTGTCAGAACCTTTAAAATCATGTGCATGGGTCCTCCTTTCTTAATAGCCTGCCACAATGATTGAGCATAAATGCAAGCAATCACAAAGTACACTAGGACTAGGAGGAAAAAGAACTCATGTAACCCTGTGAAGAGAAGAAAGGGAGTTTGCTTCAGTAAAACACAGGCAGTTAGAGTGTTGGGTTGCTTTCAAATCTTCCTGTCAATATATTTCTAGAACTTGTTATTAATTGGAGTCATGGCATTCACTTTTATAAGAAAAAAAGAGAGAAGCTGTTAAAATTTAAACAATTTTCTACTTTGGGACAAATTTTTAACTACAAAAAAGCAGATTAACCAAACTAGTTAAAATCAATATGTAAGAAAGCATAGTGGTTGGGGAAACCCAAAAATTCACCATTAAATCATGGTTTTGTTTGAAAACAGTAAATGAAAAACAATGACTTCAGCATTCAGTTAGATATACTTTTTACCCCAGAGTGGATTTCTTTTGCACCCAGTTTAGCAATAGATTTGTCCAGTTAATAACAATTTAATATGCTTTGCCAATGATTCTGAAAAGATGATCTCTGGCCCAGCAGCATCCCTACAGAACTGGTTATAAATGCAAATCCTTGCGCCCCACCCAGTTTCTAATCTATAGAATCAGCAACTTTTTGAGTGGAACCCAGAAATCTGTAGTAATAAGCCCTACGGGTGATTAGGATGCAGCTAACCCTGAGGACCCAGCTCTGGAACATCCCGTCATCGTGAATGGCTGTTTGGACAAAGCTTCAAAATGCCTGTCATGTCCAGAGCCCCCCTTTCCAGTCTGCAGCTCTTGCTAAAAAGGAAATCCTGAGGAGATCATGTGACTCCACGCCAGAGTTGACAGAAAGCGTAACACCTAACCAAGTGGCTGCCAAACCAAGTGACCTACGACATAATTGGATCCCAAAGATAACTCAGGCTAATCATATTCTCTCTTGGGAATTCACACTACAAAATATGGACAGGAAGTAGGTCACAGAAACCGAAGCTGACAGGAGTGGACACTGGCCAGAGGAGTCAAACTAGGCCACGAAAAAAATCAAAGTTTCTGAGTGAGCAAAAATTATGAGTGAGCAAAGGGAGCTAGTGAGCAAAAACACAGTAAGAATGTGCAGGTTTTATACTTAAAACAGTGCCAGTTTTCAATAGTGCCCTCTGGTTCCTATTAGCAGCTTTGTAGTCTTGTAACCTCATGATAAACCACTTCTTTTTCTGCAGTAACTTGGAATCTTTTGACTGAGACTTCATTTTTTAGAATTTCCAGAAAATTTGTATAATAAAACAGCAGGATAGCTTTCAGTTCAATGGCTTAAACGTATTTGGTCGAATCTCAAGACAATCCATAATATTAGGGCTCTTACATCCTATCTGACATTGGAGTGTTGCAACATGGTGTGAATAGAGCTGTCTCTAAAGAGTCTGTGGATGAACAGTCTAAATTATAATCACTTCCATTCCAATTGTGAACACCAAGACGCTCCAGTTTCTCATTTGGGTTAACTCCAATAACAGCCAGAGAAGAAAATATTTCTATTATGTAGAAAATAAATTTGGAAAAGCAATCCAGAAAAAAAAAAAGCACATGAAAAACAGTCAATAAATAGCTCAATCATGGTTTTGGCATGGTTGCGGTAGGAAAAAAAAGGCAGCAAAAAGTATTTCGGCCACTGGGTGTCTCTCCTGCTCTATGAATATAAATGTCAATAGTTTACTTTTCTAATACAGGTGGAAAAGCATGTTTAGATTTCAGAAAGGAAAGAACAAATAATAGAAGGGGCATACTTCCTCTTTAAACTCCTTACACAGAAAAGCATTATAGCTTTAGAAATAATGGCACCATAATCCTGGGATTATAGTACTGGAACAAGACAGAAAATACAAATGCAAAACATATTATAACAACTGTAGGTCAGTAAAATTCCTTATGTTACCCTGTGTTTTGAATCTTAGTTTTTATCTTTCCTGCTTAGCATTAAAGGATTAAACACGGTTTTTTTTTTTGTTTTTTTTTTGAGTTGGAGTCTCACTCTGTCGCCCAGATTAGAGTGCAGTGGCCCCTCCCAGCCACCGCAGCCTCGACCTGCTGGGCTCCGGTGATCCTTCCGCCTCAGTCTTCCGAGTAGCCGGAATTACAGGCGTGTGCTACCACGCCCGGCTAATTTTTTTTTTATTTATTGTAGAGATGAGGTTATACTGTTACCTATAAATTTTAAAATTTATAGGTAACAGTATAACAGTAACATTAATTGCAGTATAACAGTAACATTAATTGAGTAACAGGTAACATTAATTGCAGCTATTTGCAGCAGGTTATCCTAATTCAAACCTCTCAGATATATGATAACAGTTAATTCTCAGTAAAAGCGTAGCAAATCAATTTTCCCTACTTGGAAAAGATTATTAGACAAACTAGCAGAAGTTTCTAAAATGAACTAACTGAAGATTATTCCCTGGAAACAAATTTTATACCCAAGGCTATGGAGTAGGAAGACTGTCTCCTAAGGCTCTATTTTAAAGCCAACACATTCTCAAAGCACTGGAATATGGACCTGTGGGTCAGTGGCTCCACACATCAGACCCAACTTCAGAGCTTTAATTGGCTTCAACTCCAAATCTATCTGAGTCTCTGTGTGTGAGATTTAATGTTTAACTCCAAATCTATCTGAGTCTCTGTGTGTGAGATTTAATGTTTTTTGAAACTCTCTTAAACCTTAAATTAGATGCATACAGTGATGGGTTAAGAACCACCAATTTTCACTTCATTGTAGAACTACTCACAAAGACTTTTAGGCATTTTAATCAATAAAATGATAACATTTTTAGAAATTAAGGTAGCCACATAACAAGGTTGGACACTTTTTAATAATTAATCCCTACAGGTTAACCTGGCACAGAGTCTCATGCTTAATGAAAACACACATAATTATAGTGAGTCTCTGTCCCTCATTTAAATTTTGTTGGTGGCAAAACCAATGCAATTTCCCCATTTTAGCATTAGAAAGACAATTTTACTTTATTTATTTATTTTCTGAGTTGGAGTCTTGCTCTGTGGTCCAGACTGAAGTGCAGTGGCATGCTCACAGCCACCACAGCCTCGACCTCCTGAGCTCAGGCAATTCTTCTACCTCAGCTTTCTAAGTAGCTGGAACTATTGGCATGCACCAGCGTGCCTGGCTAATTTTTTTATTTATTGTAGAGATAAGGTCTTGCCAAGTTGTCCGGGTTGGTCTTGAACTCTTGGGATCAGGCAATCCTCTAGCCTCGGCCTCCCAAAGTGCTGGGATTACAGGCATGAGCCACTGTACCCAGCTTGAAAGACAGCTTTTAGACATAAGAGTAAGTATCAAATCAAAATCTGTCACAAAATCAAGAAAAAGTAGGTCAGGAGTCAGGGCTAAGAACTGACCTGGATGGTCAGTATGAATCCTAAAGAAAAGCTCATCACAACTCAGCCGAGGAAAACACTAGAAATCAAGGACAAGGTTCAGAACAAGGCAGGGTATAACTGGCATTCAGTAGCCCAAAGGGCACAGAGCTCACATGTGATTACTTACGCCGGGGTCAGGTCATGTGCCAAACTGGGGATAACGAAAGAACAAATGGGAGCCTGGATAAGGAGGCAAGAAAATGCCTACCAGGATTCAGAAAAGTCTTAAGGATCCACACAGTCAATAAGACAACCTTTTGAGCCAAAGGCCTGGAGGAAATAGGGTAAGTGCTAACGGATCTAGGCTCCACAGAAGGCAGCAGGGTGTGCGTGTGCAAGGATTGCAGTGCAGCTGTACCTCCTGGAGAGCCTTGGCCAGTACTAAAAGCTAGTGTCCTAGGAAACAATGAAGTCTATGGTTATAAAGGAACCTAAAGGCAATTCAGTACCAACCATCCATTCAAAGCTATCAACAGACCTAGGTAATAGCCTTTCCAAAATACTGAAAAATGTCAGCATCTTTTATAAGATTAAGGACATGGCAGGACTAAATTATGAGCCAATAATGATCTACACTGGTCCAAAGTATTGAGTGAAATCTAACCTTGCCGTTCATCTGCATTGAAAAACAACCTGAGTAGCTTACACTACGCCATTTCCTCCACAGAAAGAACTTTTAGAGCTAATGACTTCAAGGCATTTAGCACCCCATTCTGTCAATACGTATATATTTTTTTCAAACCAAAGGATGTTTTTTAAAAATGTTTCTCTCTTCATGTATTATTTGTGACCTACCAACTATAACATTCTCTTTCAGTTGCTGTGACAAATTTACACTTTGAACTAAACAATCGGTTTAGTCTAATGTGGCCTCACTTCCACCCACTCCCTCCATGGCCAATGAGATGCCACGGAATTGAATTTTTCTCTAAGCAGATTGACTCTTTCAAATGGGTAATGAACTCATGAAGAAGTAAACCCTTAACCCTTTTCTTTGACAGATGGCCTACAAATCCGTACTCCGACATGTTAATTTATAAATCTGTTATACTTTATGACATGTTTACGATGATCATAAGAAGTCATTCATTTCTATTGGGGTAGAAATCTCACTTCAGTTAGTTGGGCAGGACATAATCACCAAAATTTCGATGAGATATATTTTATGAGAGTACATCTGATTTTGGAAAGCATTATATACTCTGATCATTCCTAAATGGTTATAAGCTTCAATGAAGCTTGATCTTTTCAAATCTAGTGAAGAGTCAGTCATACAAAGTAGTTTAGTTTTCAACTTCATTAATCATTGAATTATCAATATAAATTTCTCAATTTATCACTTTTCTGTTTATAAAAATAATGTTATCATAAAAACAACAAAAAGATTTAGAATGCATAAAGGAAAATATAAAAATATACAAAAACTATACAATTCTACCATCCAGAATATTGAAAGAACCTGTTAATATTTTTATAATTTCTTTGTTTTAGTCCCTGCATTTTAAAATATACTATATTTAAATATATTTAATCTAGATTTTAATAATTATAATCTTTTAAATACTTGAATAATACTCTACTTTTTAAGCTTAATATTTTAGCTATCAAGATGCTATAAGAAGATTCATTTAATGATTTATCTACTTTTGGACACAAAGATTGCTTTTACTTTTTAATATTCTAAAAATACAACATGAATTTATTTGTGCATAATCTTTGCCTGTATTTAGGATATATTCAAATACATATTCTTACCAGATTCTCCAGCGCTAAAATGATCAAATGGATTCCCATCGGCATCTGGGTTTAGTAACACCATTTCAAATGGGATATCTTCCACATGAGAATTCCCCTTGTCATCTTTGCATGTGTACTTGTCTGCATAAAACACATGCCAAGTTTGTGGAGATGGAATCTGGGACACTGTCAGATTATGTTCAGTCTGGTTCATGGTCACTTTAAAGAAAAGGAAAACAGTACATTTCATAGCAAAACTTTGAAATGTGTTCATTGTGTTAGCTGTATAATCAATTTGAAGTCAGAACATCCTTTTGCTTAGTTTTTTGGTCTGTTTTGACACAAGGTCACACTCTGACACCAGGGTGAAGTGGTGTGATCATGGTTCACTGCAGTCTTGAACTCTTAAGACTCAAGTGATCTTCCTGCCTCAGCCTCCCAAGTAGTTAGGACTACAAGTGCACACCACCACACCCAGTTAATTTTTATTTGTATTCTTTTATTTTTTGTAGAGGAGGTATCTCACTATGTTTTCCAGGCTGGTCTCAAACTCCTGGTTTCAAGCAATTCTCCTGTGTCTGCCTCCCAAAGCACTGAGATTATAGATGTGAGCCACTGTGCCTGGCCTATTTAGTTCTTATTGCCTCAGAAATCCAAGCCCTGGTGTAATAGTGGAATAAAAGCTGGTAATAGTGAAGCAGATAAAAATGATGGTTTTAACCAAAGGAATCGCAATAAAAGTACTACTATAACACCACAAATGAGTAGAATGGCTCCATTAAACTCTGAATTTCAATTTTAAATATTTTCCAACAAGGGTGCCTGAACGAAGCACATTGTATACCTAACCCTTAACTGTACCCCACAATATCATAACAAAAAATATTGATTATAAAAAATATATATATATTTTCCAAGTTTCCAAGTGGGTTAATGACATTCAAAAAAAATTATTATGGTAAAAGATACATAACACGAAATTTATCATTTTAAACAATGCTAAAGTGTACAGTCTACAGCACTAAGCCCATTCACGATGCTGTGCAATAATCAGTGACATTTTTGAAATTACTTATTTAAGTTAAATTTTAAATAGGGCATTCAATTTAGAAAATTAGTTGAAAAATCATCATGTCTAAAAACTGTGGCTAAAAACTGTGGCTGACGAATACTTTCAAAGATTTTATGAAATCTTTTTCTGACTGGTTATTCTTTAAAAGGGTACCAAACACAGAAAAATAGAAACTATAGGAATATAAAAGTTATACTAGATCGGGCACATACAAGGTAATGTGATATAGTGGGTGGGAGACAACTCCTGAATGTTGGAACCATACAGATCTATTTGAATCCTGGCTTCAATACTTACCTGCTGTGTGAGCAAGCTGCATGAGCAACGACACTCACTTTCACAGCAAAGAGCTGACGCAAGGACTAAGTTATTATGAGTCACCTAGCATAGTATCACAGAGCAGTTGCTAAATAAATGTTAATTCTCCTTTTCCTTTCTTCAAAACAAGATTGTTATACTAATAAATGGTTCTCCATCCAGGGTAATTTTGCTTCCCTGCAGGGCATTTGAAAATGTGTGAGGAAGATTTGTTTTTTGGTCACTATGGTTGTTCAAATACTTGGAGTGAGGCTGTGCTCAACCTCATGCGATACCAGGTAAAGTCACAAGCAAAGAACTCTGTCTTCTAAAATGCCAATAGCATCCCCTTTTGAGAAATACAAAATGATGTCTGAGATCCCTTCCAGATCTAAAACTATGATCCTGACTAAGAGGCACTGACTAGGGCTATCACGAAGCTGTATAGTGTCTTAAACTCTAGGTATCATGAAAAGAGGAGTCAAGTTAGAAGAGCAAGTCTTGGCCTTGTGACTCAACAAATAAATTATAACCTCTCTACACTAGTTGCTTCAATAGCAAAATGATGATCCATTTCCTGTCTAGCTCCAAGTTCTCTTGAGGAGCAAATGAAACTCTTCATGACACTCCTGATGTAGAGTATGATTTATACAAAGTAGAGGATTTTTAAAACAGGATTACCACAGGCCCAATTCCCAACTCTAGATAGCTCCTACAACATGCCAATATTTAAGGACAAATTAATCTTAATCTTCCTCTCAATATAGGAATTAAAAATAAATAAATAAAAGAAAGTTCTTGAAGCAACCCAAAATTTGTATATGGAATAGGTTTTTTGGAGGATGGTATAAAATGATTCATTTTCTTAGGTGTAATAATGGTATTTCAGTTATATAGATGAATGTCCTTATTCTTACAAGATGTATGCTTAAGTATAGAGGGGTAAACTCTTCATGATACCTGCTGCTTATTTTTATATGGCTCAATTAAAAGTAAAAATCATACACATATAAACATAAGGAAAATGTAACAAAATATCAACTATTGACTCTAAGTAGAGGATATACAGATATTGGTTGTACCGTACTTTCTACTTTTTTGTATGTTTGAAAACCTTCCTAATAGAAAATGGGAAGGTGTTACGTATAGGCCATCATTATGAATGAGATGCAGACATATCCAGTCAAAATTTAAATTTTGAGAAGGTGAATTGTATAACTGGAAATTTCTTTCATTGGTAGTTAAACTGAACAAGAGAATTTGATTAACAACACCACAGCATTGCTTTCTTGGCTACTGTAAGTTAGCTGACATTTATACTACTTTTTTTTTTTTTTACTATACAGCTTCTAGAAAAATGCAGCAAAGACTCTAATGTCTATGAACTATTTGAAGACCTTTAAGAAGAATTTATAAATGATCAATAAGTGATTCAGAAATAATGCTGTTTACATGTGCAGCTTGCAATTACATAATGTGGATCTTGTTATATAAAGGCTCTGCTGTGTTGGTGTTTTATCACTTGCACCTTTTCTTTTAGATAAAACAATATAAAAAGTAACCATAATATTTTCACCAATACACTTTTAATGTTTCATTTTAAATTATGCAGATTTATATCAAGCAGAAATAAAAGTGTGCTTCATATAGTGATACTGGCCATAGGTTTTGTCTTGCTGTCTTTTCCAGTCAGCCTGGGAAGCCTCTTGACGAAACTGTGGGTTCACTGTTTTTGAGACAAAAGACTACAGCACAGCATGCATATTCTATGCTGGTATAATTAGTACCTCAAATATTAACAAAACTTGAATTGCAGAGAATGCTGTTAAATAGCTAATTGCCTAATCATATTAAAAAAGGAAATGAATTCTGTCAAGCAATAATGAAATACACAATAATGAAAATACTAACACCTTTAAACGACTTACAAAATATACCAAATGAACAAAAGAAATCATATGCATTAGAGTAAAAAGACAATGCTAAAATGTTTTATACACAATATATTTAGCTTCTGTAATCTGATAGCAAAGTACTCTGCATCTCCTTTTAAAATTTATTTTAGATAGAAGCATATAAGGTCATCATTTTCAGTGCTCTCAGATGTCTTATTTGCTTGCTTTAAAAACTTACAAGGTAGTTTTTAGCATATTTTTAAAAAAACTTGATGTTTTATGACATGAGACCAAAAGATGATTGAAAAATAACTTCTCAAACATTAATTTGAGAGTCAAGTAACATTCGACACGATGAGATTTTTCAAATCTGCTACTTTATTGGTACATAGCAGCAGTAGGGTTGTACATAGGAGCAGGGCATAGTTAACGAGTTTACTACCAAACAGGTGAAAGAAAGGCTGTTAATTCTTAAGTCTCACTCATAGCCAGGAAATGCACTTCTTATAAGAAATTATTCTTCAATATGTGTTACTATTACATTGTCATGTATTTAAGGATATGCTTTTTGCTTCAATGAACCTAATCTAAATAATAGCATGCTACAAATGACAATTAATATATAAGAGTTACAGACAGCAGACTTTTTTTTTTTTTTTTGAGTTGGAGTCTCACTCTGTCACCCAGACCGGAGTGCTGTGGCCGCTCCCGGCCACCGCAGCCTCGACCTGCTGGGCTCCGGCGATCCTTCCGCCTCAGCCTTCCAGGTAGCTGGAATTATAGGCGCGCGCTACCACGCCCAGCTAATTTTTGATTTTATTGTAGAGATGAGGTCTCACCAAGTTGCCCAGGCGGGTCTAGAACCTGCGGGCTCAGGCGACAGCAGGCTTTCTTAAGATTTAAATCTTGTTATTGGAAAAGAATTGATAAAATATATAGAAATCAGTACTTAAGTTATTTCAGGCCGTATGTCTAAATTCCTGTTTCCTGATATCTTTCATTCCATAATTCCAAAGAATGCCCCTGCACTTGACAGAACAGGAAAGAGGAAGAGAAAATAGAAAAAGAAACAACAAGAGGTTTTGTTAAGTTATAACCCTGTACACAAGTAACTTTTAACTAGAATCACAGCATTTTGAGACTGTCAGGAAACTTAGAGAAACCTAGTCCAACTTGTTTGTTGTACAGATGAGAAAAGTGAGGCTCAAAGATAACAAGATCTTGTTTTAAGTCACTACCTGTGATTCTCAGTTTTGTGGCCTTCCCACTGCACCACACTGTCTCCCTGTATACAGAAGTTCTGGGAATACAGGAAAAGGACTGATACAAAAAAATGTTTTTGGCAAGTGTATATAGTACATGGTATAATACTGACCAAGTGATATGAGAAAGTAAATCAATATTCTTATAGCTCAAAGCTTTATTTATTTATATTGAATCGGGTTTTACTCTGTTGCCTAGGCTGGAGTGCACAGACATCATGACGGCTCACTGCAACCTCCAGCTCCTGGGCTCAAGCGATCCTCCTACATCAGCCTCTGGAATAGCTGGGACTATAGATACATACCACCACGCCCCGCTTATTTTTGTATTTTTTGTAAAGACATGGTCTCACTATGTTGCCCAGGCTGATCTCGAACTCCTGGACTCAAGCTATCCTCCCGCCTTTGCATCTCAAAGTGCTGGGATTATAGGCATGAGCCACTGCACCCAGCTAGCTCAAGACTTTAAGCTGCCTAAGTTTTTACTGGAGAAAGAAAAATCTTTGAGGTGCCAAAGACAAAAAGCAAACAATCTACCAACCAAAAACCTTTCAAGCACTAAACTCTATGACTACTCATTTACAAATACTTAGTAAAAGTTACGCACTAGAGTATCATAGACTCTCATTCTCATAGTACCATATAATGAGCATTCATAGCACTTATAACAACTGCAATTTCACATTTGTTCACACTGATCTGATTCATTCCTGTCACTCCCACTAACCACAATGACTGAAAGACGACTAGTATTTTGGTCACTGATCCATCACCCGCCCTTAGTATAGCATGTGAAACCACGGAAGTAACTCAGTGAATGAACAAACCAAACGAGCTTGCTGCTCTTACTGACTGATTTTATAACAAATGTAAAATATAATTATGGTAAATGCTATGCAGGAAAGCAAGTGGCTTAAGAAATTAGGTGTTAATTTAGAGGAGGGCAGAGCCAAAGAGAAAAAGCCTGTGTAAAGGCCCAGGGTGGCACTGAAATATAATGAATTTGAGGGGGCAATGCTGTGACAAGAAGCTGAAGGGGTAAGTAGCAGCAAGCCTCTGACAGCTCTGTGATCATCTTTGTCCTAAGAGCAGTGAGAAACCACTCTAATGTTTTAAGGGTGTGGTAAGGAAGTGGATATAACAGGACCAAACCTGCTGTTTGGAAAGATCTGGCTACCAAAGGGGGACCAGTGTGGGTGGAGAAGGGCCTGGTAGGAGGCTACCGAAATAGTTCAGTATAGGCAAGAGATTACGGCCGCTTGGAATAATATTGTAAGGGCAGAGAGGAAGAAAAGCAGATGGATCCAAGAGATACTTAGAAGTGAAACGTCAAGACTTACTGATAGATTGGAAGGGAGTAAAGGTCAAAGAAGGGAGTGTTAGGAGACTTGATTGTTTACCAGATGGATGATGGTGCCAATTCCTGAAACAAGGAACATGGAAGAGGACTGGGTTTGGACAGGCAAGATGGTGAGTTCAGTTTGCACACTATAACTGAGAACTAAAGAACATGACCTTTGATACATATGTGGAACCCTTAGATGAGCAAATTGGCCTAGAAAGGAAAAGATAACTGATGAGACTTGGCATGAACGTCCCAGATACGTTCTAAATTCAGGGTTGAAGTAAATAACTTTATGTAATTAACTGTCTCTTTGATATCTGATACTGTCAATGCCATGTCAGAAATCTAGATAAAAGATCCTCACAATGGGTGGCAAAGAATGGGAACCTCTACTCTTGTCCCTGTTCTGGCTAGCAGCCTTATAAGGGAACCAGACAGCTGCTAAGATTAAGACTGGATGCTTAGAAATGGGAGTGTTTTACTGGACTGGACTGAAAGAATAGACTATTATGTTCTACAAATGAATGAGGCCCTGAAAAATAAGGGTAAAAAGAGGTGAGGGATCATTCCCATTTTTTTTCTCATGGATACTTCTAATTCCTAATATCTCCTGCAACCAGTCAACTTCCAAGGGGTAAAATGGGTAGAACGGCATCTGTTCTTCATTTCTCTATTAAAAAGATTTGTACTTATTCTGGATAGCTAACACCATAATGCATGGAACAGTGTTGATGACAATGAAGGAGATCAAGGATTTAAGCCACCAGATCAGAATAAGTACAGTTTCCCCAGGGGCAAACCCAGAGGTTTACAAATGATGTAGTGCTGGGACATCCCAAAGTGACATATATTGTCACCATATGACTAAAGCTCATGTTTCAATGACAAGTTTTAAAACAGTGCCACCTAGGTCGAATTATACAATTAACTGAGATAACACATGTTTCGTGTTTAGCTCAGTGCTGGCAGATAATAAGCATTCAACCTATGTTAGAATTCACTCCATGCTGCCACTGGGTCAAGATATATCTGCCATATTGGCATAAATTATGCAAACTGTAAAGAGTCTAAACAAAGGAAAAACTTTTATAAATTATCTAGATGTTTTTCCAAATATTTTGAATAATAAAGGAGGGGATAAAGGGAGGAACGTTCTGAACGAGGTTAGTTTCCTTAAAATTCATCTTAAAACACACTAGACGAAGTGCCATCCAAGTGTGATGTCTGCTGTCATGAAACATCTTGTTATGTAAATACTATATTATACTTCAACATTAAGGAGAAAAAAACTGTATCCAATGATGAAAGAAAAAAGAATATACTCACTTGTCAACTGAGCTTTGGATAATTTTTCACTACAGCTATAACCATGACTGCTTTCCTGCAGCTTTAACCATTCCTGGGCTTGGAACAGGTAGAGTTTAGCTTCTTTTCCAACAGCTACTGCTATGTTGTTGATTCTGACACATAGAAGAGCATGATCACCTTGACATTAAAACAAAAATTGTCAACTAGTTTGGTCTTGTGTGAAACTAACATGGTAAGGACAATTCAACACCTCTACTTACCAATACAGGGATTTAAAAAGCACAACTTTTCTTAAATCTTACTTAACTAGGTAAATCATAGTAGAATCAATACCACATTCAGATGCAAACAAGAGAGAAACTTGAAACATCCTAACCCCAATCTGTCTTGAGGAATCTGGATTTAATACATCTTTCCTCTATGTTTACCAGGTAATTATCAGGGTTGTCAAGTCTCTCTGCCGATCATGAATAACTCATATTATAGCTTCCACAAATTCCAGATTTTCTAGCATTGTTCAGATTGTGCCATTTATTGCAGTGACATTAGTATCACTGTCAATACTCAAAGTATGGTTACAGTAAGTTAAGAAATGAAAATGTGATGAAAATAATAATACAGCTGTTTCTAGTGTTTCCTCTTCATTCAAGCAAAGTATATTCAACAGTGGATTTTGAAAAAGTGGGTGGCACTCCTTTGCTAGCTTAAAAACTTCAGATTAAAAAAGAAATCAGGTTCTCTTCCCTTTATACCAACAATTCTGTAATTTGCCAATACTTTAGATTCCTTTCCCACACCAAAATAGCTTCTAGTTTCTATTATCTTCCCCTAAGAATTCTTTCTAGGCCAATACTCTGATCTTCACATATGCGCCTTTTAATGCTACAGATCGTACAAACCAAAGATCCTAACCTCATCAAGGCAGATAATTATTTGAAATACAGTCCAATTAGGAGTACCAAGATGATGCACCAGCACTTATATTTTGAGGGTGCAAATAAATGAGACCAAAATAAGAATGAACCGCAAATTCATTCATTAAAGGGATAGTTATTGATTTTTGAGGGAGATCAAAAGACAAGGATCAAACGCTGCTCAGATTTCAGACCGGCCAGGGAATGAAATTTAGGCCGCTTCCAGGACACTATTTACACGCATTTCCGTGACTTTGTAATTTTAGGCCTCATCGTCTACATACCAGTAAATCTGTCACACTAGTGGCCGAGTGACCAAACTATTCTGGCAATAATGACAACTAGATAATCAGGTGTTTTACCTGGTTTCCAAAACCTCTCTGCTGCAAATTGGTTTTATCATATTGGTCTTTTTAAAAAAAGAATACTTAAGTTCCTGGGCTTAAATTCACACGTAACTACAACAGCTCAGTGTATATAATAATCTGGCCAGGACAGGAGTGAGCAAATGTGCTTCTTTGGGGGAAGGATCTCGAAAGATGCCGCTGACCAGTCACCTTGCACGGAAAGGGTTGGGGAGCTGGAACCGGCTTCCAGGTACAGAAAATAATCAAAATCCGGAGACACTGCCGCCGGGGGCCTGGTTAGCAGCCTTGGTGGGGATGGTAATGAACGCACCCCACGCTCCGGGGCAGCTGCGGCAACGCTGGAGGTCCAGGTGAGGCTGGGGGAGCCGGCAGCGCCCAGCGTGGCGGGGCGGGGGCCGGACAGGAGCTGCCCGAGCCCCTCCTCCTTCTCCCCGCCCCCAGACCTACCGTGGAACTCGAAGTGGCCGATGTTCTGGCCCTGAGCGTCTCGGGCTGCAGCGCTGCTGAAGCTGCCCCTCAGGGTCTTGCCCTGGCTGCCCTGCGGCCACCAGCAGCACGTGAGGGCCACAGCCAGCAGCCGCAGCCCCCCCATGCCCGCCTCCCGCTCGGTCCAGACACCCAGTTCCCGACTGCCCGCGGCCGCCGGCCCCACGTCGGCAGCGGGGAGGGGAGGGGCCGGCGCCGCAGACTCGCTTCCCTGGAGACCGTGAGCCAATGAGGTGGGCCCCTCCGCCACGAGCCAAGATTTATCCACCAATCAGAGACCGAGGTGGGCGGGACGTGCAGGTCCGAGCGTCCCATCACTCCCTGGCCTCTGGGATAGTTCCCGCCTTTTTTTTAATGAAGTAGTAGGAGGATGTTGCTTCAGGTTACGGAAAAATCGTCGCCCTCGTGGTAGCCCGGAGCATCGTGCCACTGCGCATGCGCAGACGCGTTGGCCCGAGTCCGTGGGGCTTTGCGTGGATACTTGGGACTGAAAAAAAGACACACACGACAGGATCATTTCTGATCGAGACCGGAAAACTCCCTCAAAGCAAGAACCATGTTCTTACTCAGCTTTTCTGGATCAGTGCCTGTATAATCTATAGGACGTTTTCGCTGTAATAATGTCTCAGACACAGCTCTGCACGTCTAAAGTTTAACGCATGACTTCTTTTGGCACCTCCAACCGATTTTTCCCTCCTAGGTTCCCTGTCTCTTTGAATTCTATCATCCTCCAGCAGAAAGCCGGGAATCCTAGCGCCCCTTACGCTCTCACATTCAGTCAATTTCATTACACATGTGCTATCAGGCCCTCCTTCCGGTGAGGGTAGGACTGTCCAGGCCATCACTTTCAAGACCTGCTTCCAGTCTTAATTCTCTCCGATTGGCTGCTGTCCTCCTCTACCTTTAAGCCACAAAAGCTTTAGGAAACAATCTGCATCACTTTCCTTCAAAGGCTCCCAAGCTCTTCAGAATACGGCTACCAAGTGTGTCACGTGTCCATTTCTTAACTTCCAATATCCCTCCTTGCCATTTGTCAGCTTGCTGAACGCTCCAAGTCGCCACTTCTGCCCTATATCGATCCCTCGGGCTGGAATACTTCTGCTTGCTCTATCATTCAACCCCCTTCTTTTTCCTACTTTACTCCTCTTTCCCAAGGCACTTGAAGAAGGCTTTCTCAAGCTCCGGTCTGTATTAGTTGCCCCTGGCACAGGTAATCCTTTACTTCCCTGCCAAAGCACTTATCACGCTGTATTGTATATGTCTGTTGATTTCCTCTGAATCCCTCGCTATATTGTCTGTCTCAGCTGGTCAGAGTCTATGTCTGTCTTGACCAAAATAGGAGCTCAGGCCGGGCGCGGCGTCTCAGCCTGTAATCCCAGCACTTTGGGAGGGCGAGGCGAGTGGATTGCCTGAGCCCGCGGGTTGGAGTCCAGCTCTGACAACTTGGCGAGACTTCATCTCTACAGTAAATCAAAAATTAGCTGGGCGTGATAGCACACGCCTGTAGTTCCAGCTACTTGGAAGGCTGAGGCGAAAGGATTACCTGAGCCCAGCAGGTTGACGCGGGGGTGGCCATGAGTGTGCCACTGCACTCCAGCCTGGGCAATGAAGTGAGACTCCGACTCAAAAAAAAGAAAAAAAAAAATAGGAGCTCAAAATTATTTCATAAGCTGGACACCGTAGTTCATGCTAGTTTATAAGCCCCGCACGTTTGAAGGCCCAGGAGGAAGGATTGCTCAAGGCCAGGAGTTTGAGACCAACCTGGTCAGCATAACCTAGGATTACAGGCATGAGCCACTGTGCCTGGTACCGGTCCTTTTATTCTAAAAGTAATCCTATCACATACCCAGAATTTTCTGTATTTCTGGCTGACCAGGAATATACTGGCAATATTAATAGTTAGAGACCCTGTCTCTACCAAAAAAAAAAAAAAAAAAACC